TATATCAGCAGTACTCATAAAAGGCTGTGAAAGTCCTTCAATATATGGATGTCCTGAAATGCTATGATCTACCAAATATTGCATTCAAGCAGTCCTGATTGCCACATTGCACATATTGAGTTTGTGATGATGTCTGGGATTAAGGAAACAACATCAGGCAGCTGTTTGGATTGCTTTGTTCCTTTATTGAGCTAATCATGTTAGACTCTGATGTGCTGTGAGACGCTACACAGTTAAACATGCAGCCTCTGTTATCTTATTTTAGAACAAATGGTGAAATCCTGTGTAACTACAGAGCACCCTGCATTCTCTTTCATACTATATGGTCCAGCTATGAATAATAATGGATATATATTTAAAAATGAAAGCTGCTTAAGGCCGCTTTAAACTTCAGTCATTTAATTTTACAATCTAACCCATAATCAGAGGTTTGTTTTATCGCATATGTCAAGATAGACTCAGCTGTTATTTGTTTTAAATCCCCCAAAAGTTGAACCTTATATTGTGATATGGTGTACTTTGATTGATTTCACCTTATGGGCACCAAACTGCACATACAAATGTGTTTTTAATTTGTGCAATAAGTGGGCATGTTGCAGGTGATCTAAAAAAGATATCTGCACATATGTTAAGACTATGCAAACCAGTTAGGTTCTACCAATTTAAATAAGAGTGAATCCTTCAGAGTGCTGGTAAGATTCAAAACTTCTAATTATAGCTGATAATAATAACAAAATATTCAAAAAATAATAATAAAAATATATAGAGTTCTTTACATAGGTAGCCTATTTTAAGTGATACCAACAAAAGTTAAAAATGAAATTGCTAAAAATACTGTGTGGGTTTCTAAACAGGAGCAAACGTATAAAACATAACTGTGCTTCGCTCAATCCAGGAAGAAAAAGTAACCTGTTGCAAGGAGTAAGGGATGCACACCCATCCATGCTAAATGTTTATATTGGAATATCCTCCACCCATGAATATATGCATTTTTGGAATTAGAATATTATCTGCTATTGATGAAGGCAGAAACACAAAAAAAGGGTTAATACAGGCCTTATATTGTAAACGCAAATCACTTTGTGACTTCTTTGAAGAGCATACAAACATGTTTGCACTTTTTAAGAGCACAAACCTTCAGAAGATCAGGCGCTAGATATGTCCACTAAACAGAGGTGGATAATTCAGGTTCAGAAAGTCAAAATGCTGCCATGTTTTCTTTCATTCTGTTCACCTAACCAGGTTATTAGTTTCTGTCTGTGTTGTTGAGCTGGACATGCAAAATGGAACTAATCTCTAAACAGTTTGTTTTTATTTTTTTTATTGCTGAACCTGGATTGTCCACTTGTGCCAAATATACTGATGAAAAAGTTCTCTCTAACTCAAGTTTAAAAGAGTGGATGAGATATGTTGTAAATCTTTATAGCTGAGTTTTAATTCATTATTTCACAAATATAGTGTGTCATTTTAGGATCTTCAAGAGAAAAATGTTCTTTTGTACATTTAACATTTTATTTGATAAGGGGTATATTTCCTACTAAAGCAGAAAATTTGTTTTTATTTGCTGCAAATGAAAAATGGATTTCAGCAACATTTTTATTGGCAGGCCAAAGCTTTACGATATCTGTAAGAGGAAAATCGGCGACAAAACTCAGATCAGTGCTTAAGCTAACCTAACATTTACACTCCAAAATAGTTCCACTCATAAATCAGAGCACATTGAACCAGGCATCAGTTTTAGAGTGAAATTACACAATGTTTCCACCTAAAACCTGAGTGTTAAGAGTCAGAGGAGCTGGATGCTGCAGAAGAAGGTGAAATGTTGGTTCCTTCGTTTTCATGGCTCCACAGTGCAGAACCATGGCCATATATCTCCAGCGTATTATCAGGATGACTCCTGCTGGCCACCCTGTCACAGGAGAGTGCTTGATATAAACAAGAGATTGCTGCGACACCCAGTAATCAATATTAGGATGGTTTCAGTACCAAACATCATTTGTCTCTGCGAACATTCCTTTGACCAAACGGAGCATTAATTCAAATCATAAATCTGAGCTGATTTAAATCCGAGGAGAGGGAGAGAGGCAGTACACCCCCCCATCCCTCTACGACTTCTGACTGCCTGCCCCTAATGATTTATTTTCTACATTTCTGCAAGCGAGAGATTTGTCCATACTCACTGACAGGTCACCTTCAAACGCCAGTGGCAGACTGTTCATCACCATGCAGACGAGCATCTCATCGCTGCGAGTAAATATTAAAGGAAAAGAATCCAATTGATTGTGGATGGGCCTGAGAGGCGTCACTGCCATATATTTCACTCAGAGAGCTAATGCTGTGGCCCACACCTAGAAGCGCACCCTCCCTTTCTTTTTTTGCCAGAATTATGATTCTTCCGGAGAGCCTTGTGTGGCTGGCTGCGCCACTCAAGGTTACAATTTAAATTGTAAAAAGATAAAACTGTTTCTTATTAGCTCCATTGCCACAGCCTTGCTGTTTGGTGCTCACATTTATCTTTATTTCGGTGACCTCGCAGGCTCACATTTTTTTTCTTTTTTCTTTTTTACACACTCCATTCTCTTGGAGTGATGACCTCACGCTTTATGCATTTTGCATTGTTAAATCGGCTTTGAAACACATCCTGTTTTTATCTCCCGCACCACAAGCCCCACTGTGTCAAGTGTTACTTTAGAAATGTGTCGTTTATTTCAGTAAGAGAACGGAAACCTCTATTTAGCGTCCCAAGTTGCAAGGATTACATCTGGTTTATAATTCTGAAAAGGCCTTGTGAATCTGAACCAGCATACATTATCAGTCTCTTTTAATTCACTAAGTGCTTGTGTGTGATATTACGGAGCTCCTTCTGCTTTTTAGGGCTAATAATTAATTGAAACGGCACATAGTGAAAAACCAGAGCTCTCACAGCAATTCAATTAGATCATGTTAAAAAGCCGATAGCCGGGGTAAACTGTGTTCACAGCTTCGCTCTACAATTAGGCTCTTTTTTTCTCTCTTAACATTACAGACTTCAAGAAAAAACAAAACTCCCACTCGCACTGAATTTAGAGCTTCCCCCCTACATGCAAACACATTGAATTCAGCAGCTTACCATGTCATAAACAACTGGTATAACAGCGGGGTATTGGATGTACCGTGCAAATCTTTGGTTTTAAGTCAAGCTGTATGAGTAATACCAATTAGGCTTTGCTGGATTCTGGCTGAGACAAGACAGGAAGTTAGAGTGAACTGTTGAAAGAAACAGAAGTAAGTTCAGCATGTAGTGTAAGCAGAGACTTATTATTCTTTGCTTCTGAGCATATTTTAAATGGATGGTTCCTACAGGTATGAAATTTCATACCTTACCATGTCCACAGTTCTTCTTTTATTCCAATTGTTTTCAAAGAATTGTGGACATTTGAGTTAAAACACATTTGCCAAGTTGGGTTCTGTATGTTGAAATTCACTTTTTAGATTTTTTTTCACAGTTTGTTTCAGGTTTTTAATTTTAAATAATTACCCTAAATCACTTTGATATCTAAAAAAAATATTTGTGCAAACATATTTTAACTTAACAAGTGAGAATGACAAATGTTGAACATTAAAAAAAGTTGCATGTTGCAGGGTACATGGGAGAGGTAACAGTTTTCATCTGCTTTAAATATGATCCCAATTCATTCCAATGTAAATCATATATCCCTATTATCTGACTTTTTGTATGTCAGATAGTGTTTCTTGATTAACTCATAGATCAAATATAACAAGAGTTTTTATGTATTTGATTGAAAATAATGATAAAAGTAAAACTTAAGAAGTGAATGTTTATCATTCAAAGAGAATCAATTGTTCCTGTCTTATACAACTAATTAATATAAAGTTGACTTTCTATTAAGCATTGTAATACACAGCTATTACGCTCCAATTGGCACCTGGTAAAATAAATCAGCTGTTTTATTTATAATGCAGATTTATCAAATTAGAATGAACCAATCCACTTACATTTTAAGTTAAACATTTTGATCTGTGATTCATTTATTTATTTTTTATTGTTTTATTTTTTTTTAACAATTAAATTCAATTTAAAACTGGGATCCAAAAAGGTCCATTGAGTGCCAAAAGAATCTGTCAAATGGTTATTATTTACTTTTTTTAGTATCTCAGACAGTAAACCATTAAATAAATAAAAATGTAATAAAAACATAGGCTTTTGTGAGACAAATCAAATGTCAAAGAAAAAAGAGTACAACATTTTTGAGACACTCTGAAAAAAGAGAAAAGGCTTTTGCTTTTATATGATTAAATTCATAATACAGTCTGGATAATTCAAACATGTTTTCATGATCATTATATTTTACATCCTTTTATGCTTAGACTTAAATATTGATCACTCAAATTATTATTATTTTTTTCACTGATAAGAACTCTGGAAACATTTTTTTTTAACCTGACTTGTGTTACGTGTCACAATAGAAGAGAATCAAAGAGAAGCAAACTGTAGGTAAAAAAGTATGAAATGTAAGGAAATTGTCCACAAAAAAGAGGAAATTGTGAATATTGTTATTTGGAACCCTTTTCAAAAACTTGTTAATGACAGAAAACAGTCTATCCTTTTGTAGAAGTTGGTTCCCTATTGATATTCAGCCATCATTCACACAATATTACTGAACATTTACTATAATCAGAGTACTTATGTTGATTCAATGAATAAAATGTTCAGTAACTAGTTTAACTGATTTTTAAAGAAATTAAATCTGCAACTAATAGACAAGCAACAAACAATGGCTTTAATTAAGTTATCTGAATTATTTTATCTATTTTATAAAAACAAAATGAAGTATTAGATTATACTGGTAGAAATTCCCTCTAAAAGCTGTAAATTATGTAGAAAGTCTCTGTCAAGTAAAGTTGTATTAAAATGCTTTGGAGCATGCATCTGTCATCCATTACTGTGAGTGCAGATGTGTCAGTGACAGTGCCTGTGTGTGTGTAAAGGGCATCCTCACCGACGCCAGAGCTGAGGTCTCCATTCTCTCCGTCAGCCCCGTGGTGGTTGGCGTTGCCGTGGTAGCCGCTCATCGCCTCCAGCTTGATCTTCTTGACCTTCATGGCCTCTGCGATGGCTGCGTTGGCAGCTGCTGCCGCGGCCGCTGTCAGGCCTGGAGAGAGGAGGCAGAAGAGACAGAGCGCTTATAGACCTGCCGCACCGTCTGCTGAGGCTGAGCAACACCACCTGGGAGACAATTCCTTTGGTAAATGAAGCAAACAAATGAATATGGCTTCAATAATAACAAGAAGAAACACTAAGTAATTTCACACACTATGCTGAGCGAGCTTCTATGAAATGCCAGCCCTGTGGTTCATCTTCTGACAGAGCAGATCTTCCCAGCAGGTTATCATGCTGATGAGATGGATCCCTGTGTGTATGGCAGCATATGATTTTTATGAATGTTTTGAGGACTCCAGCAATCCTCGCCTCTGTACTGATGTATTTGTTCCCTGATAGGAAGAGATGCAGTTGAGATAATAGTGCATGATGCAAGCATTCTGTGTGCACAACTTATTACAAGCTATGTGTTTGTGTTTAAAATACTGTTTGATTCTGGAGAAAAGAAAAAGCTAGAGAGGCTGAAGCAACACAACCAATGAGTCTTGTTTATGGCAGCTTCAGTTTTGTTTAAGTGATTTAATCAACATAAATACGGCTAACGTTTAAATGAACTCAATCTTAAAACAGCGTAGCAGGCACTTGAGTTTTTTTCATGATTAGTGTTTGCAATTTTTCATTATGCTCTTAAAAAGGCTATGCCGTGATCCAGTGAATAGTAAAACCATATCTTGTAGAATTTAGTGTAAAAGCTATAGAGAAAAAAAACAGGTGACAAAGTAAGATAAATCATTGCTCTTTATTTCAAAAAGACACATTCGAAAGTTTAGAAATGGAAGGATTAAAAAAACATTTGCAGTATAAAACATTACGTATACCATTCCTCAAGTGTATCGTATTTATAATTACATTACAGAAAAAAAGCCAACACAACTTCCTGGCTGATTGAGGTATCAACTTACCAGTAGTGTCAAAAAAACACACCTTTGTTACTTAAGTACAAGTACAGATACTGCAGTTTAAAAACACTCTGGTAAACGTTGAAGTATCAACTTGACCTCTTTACTCAAGTAAAAGTGAAAAAGTATGTGCTCCAAAAACTACTTAAAGTATACAAATAAAAAGCAACCTTTAAAAAACAGCCAGATGCCACTATATGAATTGAAAGTTCAAGTTTTTGACTATTTCGAAAAATTCTTTTGAGATAGGGCCAAGGATGAGGGAGGTCTTGTTAGTCTCCATCTCCAGATACGCTCTCGCCTGTGTCCGACCTTTCAGACATTTCAACATCTTTTTCTGAATCAACATTGTAGCATGGCAAAGACAATTCAAGCTTGAACACCTGCTTGCTTCTGATGATTTCCTTTAGCTAACCAATGAGTGTTTGTGTTATATGACTCATCTAATTACACCAGTTTTCACTAGATGTGGATGGCACCAATGATCTGCATTGGATGGCGCACATGACGTGAAATAAATATTTATAAACATTAAACCAAAGCCAAGAGTAACGAGTAATGTTTTTTTTTTTTTTTTAAAGGAATAGAAAGTAGAGATTTGCTTTGCTTAGCTACATAGTTACCCACACGCCTCTGCATCGTAGGAACTATTGGCACAGCCAGCCTCACAAAATTGAAGAGAAATAAATTGTTTCCTTCTATATCCTCTAAACGCTTGGCGAAACATGCAAATGTACACACCTTTATATGTAGCTTCACGTATTTATTAATGATACTTTTGTATAACATGTGCTTCTGTGTGACACCTATAAGGTCGAAGCCTTACTGGATTTGGTACAGCAGTATTTATTTTCTTTTCTACTCAGGATAGTCTCCTTAAGTCAAGCGGACACTGTGCAATTTTCGGCGCGATTTTCCCGTCATGCGAGAATCTTTCGATCGGGCCGACTTTGAGCCTGATCGTGCGTCATGTAGTGTTCAGGGGGTTACAAGGGGCGATCAGCCTCTCATGACCCCCTCCTGATCAGGAATTGTGAGGTCGGGAGATAATCAAACATGATTGATTTTCTCCCGACCGTCGTGGGTAAATCAGTCAGTGCGCAAAAAAGGATTCTTCTGTAAACACAGCAGCATGGCAAGGATACAATGAGTGAAATGCAGTTCTGTCTGTAAAATTGACAGACCATAGTAGCCACGTTTGCTCAGCCATGTTTTTTTTTCCGAACAAGTCGTCGCCTTTTCTTTTTAGGGCTTTCAGCACAAAATTGCACAAATTGCCAAGGCAGTTGACTATAGTGAGCTTAATATCCCCCTTTTATTTGTTTGGCTTCCAGATAGACGAGTCAGAGCAGCTCCATCTCACGTGGTTTTTAGTCAGTGTGAGGCAGTGTCAGCAGGTAGATTGCATGAGAGTGTCAAGCCGAGCATAAATCGTGAGCTGTGAACTCACACTTTTGCTCACACTGTATGACTAAACCCAGAGGTTTAGTCGTACAGTGTGAGCAAAAGCTGCGTGCAACGACTGAAAAAATTGCACAGTGTACGCCCGGCTTTACTGCTCACTCAACGAAAGGTGAAGGAACAGAAACTAGGAGCAACAATTTGTCAAATTCTGAAGCGTGGCTAAAGCTTGGTTTATACTAGACGCATTAAACTATGCTTGAGAGGATGAGCGCAAACCAAGACACCATTCTGCCATTCCAGACTCGGTCTCTGTCATAGCATGTAGCTGCACACCTCAGAATTTATTTTCACTCGGTACAGATCGTTCATGCACTGCTCCCTTCAAAGTGAGCAAGAAGCAGACTTTTTGCACGCAAATTAGTCATCAATTAACACGAAAGAAAAACAAGGAAAAGAGAAAGTTAAAAGAAACGTGTACAAATTAGTCTGAAGTTTTATATCCTTCACAAGGAGAGAAAATTTGGTTTGCAACTTTGCAAGGAAGAGAATTAAGTTAATGGGAAATAATGTGTTCGAAAGGGAACGCAGCTGTTTCTTGTGTGTGTGAAATTTATCTAACCAGCTTCCTTTGGTTATGCAGTGTACTGCAGCCTGCATTGTGGGGGAATACTGTACCCGCATTAGCATTATGTATATATTCCAGGAGAGTTTTTTCTGGCGAGAACAAATCGGTCAAGGCCTACATGGCATGCCAAACTGATTCTAAAGAGTGTCTTTAGGTGACATGGACATAAAGTGGAATACATCAACATAAAATCATATCTGACAATTAAAAAATTATCCATATGACACTAGATTAAACTATCATTCTCAAAGGGGGAAAATCAAATAATTTCAATGGTTGAAAAGGTTAAGGATGCGCCTCTAGTTTAGCAATGTTATCAAGTTAGATACTTATTTATTGATGATAAAAAATACAAAAATATATAAATAACATTGAACAGAGTAATAGTATTATTTATACGCTTCAAAATGTTCTTAAAAATAAAGCTTTTGAAAGAAATGGAAAAAGTCACAGAAGAATATATGTAGTATTTTCTGGATTTTAAGCAGCAACTTTTTTTTTTTTACTTTGAAATATGCTGCTTATGTGAAGGTGCAGCTTTCTCTTCAACTTCTCTTCAATTTCTCTTCAACTGACAGGGAGTAGAAGTCAAACTTGGTAATTAAACAACAGGAGAAAAGACTACTGTTATTCCAGTTGACAAAAGGCATGACAGAGAAAAAAAAATGTCCCAACTTCACAAAATTAGATTCTTTTTTTTTTTGCTACATCAAAGCTATATAACCAAGGAAGAGACTGTTGGCAACTATTTCAGAATTGAAATAAAGAGCAGACCAAGCCCCCTCTTCCTGCCATGAAACAAGCTAACGGGATTAAGCCAGCATCATCCCTACAGTAGGGAGTGTAATACAATGGTAGCCCTTATCCACATGTTGCTACACACTTCCTGTCAGCTGGCTGAAAGGTACTTGGTTATTTTTCACTCTACTAAGATATACAAATGAATTTATTTCAAAAATGTTTTACCAAAATGCATGGATGGTCATGGTGTGGAAACTAAAGGAAAACCATCCGTTATTCCCAGAAGGGGTAAGAAGAGCTAAGCTTTAAAAAAGCAACTAATGTTACAAATTGTTTTTTTTTTTCTAACAATTAATAGTAAGAGTATTAATATACTTGATGATGTATGGAGTAATATTAATATATTTAAATGTGTTTTTTTCTTGTTTTGTTTTTTTAAATAAAAAATAGCTAGAACCTTTTAAATATTTCTGCTAATACTGTGATATTTTAGTTGAGGTTTTCATGCATTGAAAATCTTTCTCACTACTCCCCACACAATAAATCTAACCATGAAAACCTGCATTTTGGGTAAAAAGGGCTTTTCCTGTTTTATCCTGTTTCACCATAGCTTGAAGAAAACCATAAACCAATTACCCTGCATGGGTTTTTATGCGTATCACTTGAAAATTTCTGACAAAGTGCCAAATAGCTTAGAGAATTTTGCATGCATCTGCTCATGCCAAAGGCTGCTGTTCCTCCTGAGTAGACTAAATGAATATTGACATCACATTTTAAATAATCATTCATATTTCCACCGTGATCCCCCAAACACGCCGTAGAATAGCAAGTTGTGACACGGTTGTCCAACATCAATCAAAACGAACCTGCTATGATTGATATAGGGAGAGGGAGATTATATATGCACGTATGCCGGGCACACTGCAGAGATCATAAAGCACTGGTTTGTCATTGTGGTAGTTCCCGGGTTCTGGTGTATTGAACGTGACTGAAATCTTTATTCATGAGGCTGGTTTCAAACAGCAGGGACTGATATAGTGCTAAAGCTCCTACAGGCCCGGTGACTCTCAGGAGAGACCCGCAACTCTTCTTTTCAAACCCTGTGAAGAAATCAAAGACGCAAAGCAAAAAAGAAAAAAAAGGAGATGTGTACCTATTACTCTTATAACTCTTCCGCACAATACTGTATATCACCTGCTCCCTTTTTACGGGAGCTGTTTGTAGTTGATATGCAGGTTTGGCTTACATTTGACGCAGAACAAAGCAGCGTCGGCGTTTATCATCACTAAGCTGTCACGTCACGGTGATGGGATTCAACGCAGC